ATGTATGGACTATGATAAGAATTGTATGAGCCCTCAATAAAATAACTTTTAAAAAAGAATAATGAGGGTAGCAAATGTACAAATGTACAAATGTGCTTTATACAATTGATGTATGTATGGATTGTGATGAGTTGTATGAGCCCCCAATAAAATGACTTTAAAAAAAAAAAGCAAAGATGTCACTAAGATGTACCTGAGCCAAGTCATGTTATTATCTGTCACTTCCTGTATGCGTGACAAAGATAAATATTGAAGGATAAAGACAAAAGTATTAATACATTTGAATTATGTGCTGATTAAGAATATTAAATATATCACCGATTGCCAGAAAACACACAATTCTGTGATGGAAGAAGTACATGCAGAAAATTCTTTAGAAGAAAGTGTGGTAATACTTTGCCTCATACGTTGAACATGATATTAAGTGAGATATTCCCTAGAGAAAGACATCATTCTTTGTAAAGTGGATAATCAGCCAAAAAGTGGAATACCCTCACCAGACAGACTAACACCATGGCTGCAATAATGAGTTTAAACATAGGAGCTAGTGTAAGAATGGTCATATATGGAGAGTTGCTATGAGGCAGAAACAAATGCTTGGCACCTAACCAAAGAGCATGTATTAGATTTATGTAGACTCTGTATCAAGATTTACTTTGATGCTGTAGCAAATGGATAAACCTTGAGTGTCTTAACCAACTCAAATTGATTATCCTGAAGATCCATATCCCAAAATCCAACTTTGGTCTCCAAGGAGAATTTAAGGTATTATTGAAACAGCTTTTCTTTATGGAGAATGTAGGGAAGGAAACATGGGACCTTTCTCATTTGGATTGTTGAAATAATTCAATTATTTTAAATGGTAATGTTGTAGTCCCTGTTTCCCTTAGATAATATATCATGATAAACAGAAAAAAGATTGAAGTTGTCAAGGATTTCTTCTTGCTTGGATCCAAAATCAATGCTCAAGGAAGCAGCAAGCAAGAGCTTAGAGGACACCTAGTATTTGGGTAAATCTGCTGCACAATATTTTTTTAAGTATTGAAGAAAAGATTGTCATTTTGATGAGTAAGTTGTGGCTGATCCAAGCTATACTATTTTCAAATGCATAGCCACGTGAAAGTTGGACATTGAATAAGGAAGACGAAAAAGAATAGGTGCATTTGAATCATGGCGCTGGAGAAGGATATTCAAAGTAACATGGATTTCCAAAAGAGAAAACAAGTCTGTCTTGGAAGAAGTACAGCCAGAATGCTCCTTAAAGGCAAGAATGGGGAGACTTCATCTCAAGTGCATTTTACCTGTTGCCGGAAGGGACCAGTGCCTGGAGAAGACATCATGATTGGTAAACTAGCAGGGCAGTGAAAAAGGAAAAACAACCAAAAAAGACCTTCCACAAGAGAGTGGACACCGTGGCTGCATCAATGGCCTCAAACATAAGAACAATTGAGAGGATGGTGCACATCTGGACAGTAGTTCTGTAATGTATGGGGTCACCATGAGGCAGAACCAACCTGACAGCCTCTGACAACAACAACTATAGGGTGGAACTTCTTTGATAACACTTGATTTCAAAGAATTTTTCTTTCTTTCTTTCTTTCTTTCTTTCTTTCTTTCTTTCTTTCTTTCTTTCTTTCTTCCTTCCTTCCTTCCTTCCTTCCATCCTTCCTTTATTTCTTTCTTCTCCCTTTAACCATCCACACCTCTTTAGCTATTGTACTTGTTATCAATCGGTTCAATTGTGGCATTACCTATCTCATTTTTTATATCTTATTTGCACCCTCTTCTCTTCCTGTCTACCTATGTATCCATTGACATGGTATTATATATTAATACTATTGCTGTTTAATTGTGTGGTGTTTACCAAAGCTGCCCTTTATGTTTGAGTTTCTTTGCCTTCATTTGCCTTGCTCACGTTGTACTGACTTTCTCCCATATTTTGTAATATTTTTCCTTTCATCACTATTAATAAGTGCTATCTATTTAGCTGATAATCTCAGTTCTCTACCTCTCACATCCATGGTAATCATCAAAAATGGTATTTTGTTTTGTCTCCATGTATGTCAACCTTGTTTTACTTTGTTTCATTTATCTTGTCCAATCGAACATTTGTGTCTGAGACAGCTTATCATTGACAAAGATCAAAACCCATTATATGTGGAATAGATAGCCTTTCAAAATCAGAATTGGCATAGTAGTTGCTATTTAAAATACAGTCATAAAAGAAATGAAATAGGCAAAAGCATATAATTATAGGTCAAACTGCTACATAGAATGTTGAAATGTGTATTTGTGGTTAACAGTTGGTGAATATGGTATTTTAATAAAATATGGAAACTTAAAAAAATAAAATGTAGAAATAGATGTAAAGTACAATGATGGGGACAGTAAGACTGCTCTGTCATATCATGGACTCTGGCTGGGTCTTCCTAAAGAGGGAGATAAGCTAACCTATGTTTTCTTTTCAGAATAGGGCTGCAGTAATTCCAAATGGGGCAGTTTATTAGATTAGAAAACAGTGTTTTCAATGTTCACCAATGCTCTAAAATGTCTGAGATGTTCAACAGTTTGAAGAAGAGAACAGTGCTCATTTATCCATTTATTATTTTAATTACCCACTCAACAATTACTCGTTTTTACTCTGCACTATTATCCTGGGACTGTAGAATCAGAAGGAATGTTAGCAAATCTGAGTATGAGTATTGACACAAAATGATTAATTAATATAACTAATCTTAATATATTTCTAAAAAATAATAAACCAAAAATGCTATTAACTTCCATTTTGTTCCATTTTCATAAACGATATCATATTCTTATTTGTGCTGCAAGGTTGTTGTTTAAGCAGGAATAGTAGAGGTAGATCAGTTTTTCTAGGTTCAGATCCAGGCACACTAAACTTCAAGCTAGTTCTCTGAAAGGACATCATCAGTTGGAAGTGAATAAATTGTCAACAAGAAAATATAGTAGCTCTTGAAATGTTTCTCTCATAACTATATATTAAAGACAATAATAATTGAGCTTAACATATTACCCTTTAAAAATGCAGTGACATAAAACAATAAAATACTCAAAAATAGAATGATTTCTAAATACAAAATCCCATTACACCGAATGTTGTGTAAACATTAGCATTATTCTTTGATGAGTTACTCCATCACTAAACATAAACTCAACGCCTCTCAGGCAAAAAACAAACAAACCCGACCTTCCATATGCACAAGAAAACTTTGATTTCTGGATATTTGCTTATTTCAATAAGTGAAATATATATGAAATTCATAAGTAAAGGTTATTTTAAAAACATAAAAATTATGTGTTTATGTGAATCGATATTTCAGTCAACATAAAGCTTTCAAACTTTGTCCATATTAGTGTACATCAGGAATTTATTTCTCTTTATGACTGAACAACATACCACTGTGTGAAAATAGCATAAATGGCCATTTAGGCACACTTCCCAACATCATACTACGTTTTAAATAATAATTTTCTCAATGCAGCAATAACATCCTTGTTCCTGAGACTGTATATCATGGGGTTGAATATTGGAGTCACAATGGTGTAGAAAAGGGAAATTAGTTTGTCTGGTCCTGCAGAATGTAAGGATTTCGGTCTGAAATAAGTGACAGAGGCAGATCCAAAGAATAAAACCACAACCAGCAGGTGGGAAGAACAGGTGGAGAAGGCTTTAGTTCTTCCTGAGGCTGTTGGTAACTTCAGGATGGTGGAAATGATTTTGCTGTAGGAGGCCAGGATTAGCAAGAAAGGAACTGTAGCAATAAACATAACGATGATGTAAACAAATATCTCATGAACAGAGGTGTCCCCACAGGCCAACTGAATAATAGGTGGGATATCACAGAAGAAGTGGTTAATTTGATTAGAAGCACAAAAATCCAGAGAGAAAATCTGAGCTGTTTGTCCGATCTGGACTGGAATTCCAATGACCCAGGAGCCAACTGCCAGCTGGACACACAGCTTCTGGTTCATGACCAGAGGATAGTGCAGAGGGTTACAGATGGCCACATAGCGGTCATAAGCCATCACAGCCAGGAGGAAGCACTCAGTGGCCCCCAGCATAAGAAAGAAACAAAGCTGGGTGGCACATTCCACGAAAGAAATGCTTCTCTTTTGAGTCCAAAGATTCACAAGCATCCTGGGGAGAGTGACTGATACATAACAGATCTCCAATGAGGAAAAATTTGCCAGGAAAAAGTACATGGGCTTCTGTAATGCAGGATCAAATCTGGTTAATATTATGATGAGGCTGTTCCCGACTATGATGATCATGTACATGAAGAAGAACATTCCAAATAGAAAGCCTTGGAGATTTGAAAGGTCAGAGAATCCCAGCAGGACAAAGTGCAGCGCTGTGGACACGTTTCCCTCTGCTTTTCTGACTTCCGGTTTTACCTGTAGGAATGGTGCAGCCAGAGGTACAAGTTACTCTATGTTTTTGGCTTTTGTTCTCTCACTTAGAATATGGAGATGATATACCTTACAGTATTTTAAATTCCCTATAAGAACAGATGCTGTACATGAAAATTTATTCAAGATGATGTGTAAATATTTCCCATTGACTCCACAAGAAACATGTTTTACACTGTTTTACCAAAAGTGCCTTCTATTTATTTTTTCTTGGTGATGAGATAGATGATTTTAAATTTTGCTGTCCTTGTTAACAATTAATAAAATAGCAAAATCTTAAATTATCTTTAATGGTCCCAATTGCTCCATTCTTTTCATTGGCATGATTTCCTTATCTAATCTCAATTATTTTCCAATATAATCAATTGAAAATTGAGTTTTATCCAAATAAGCATTCTGTATATCATCTATTACAGTTGCATACAATTTTAAAATAATTATATAAACTAGTGATTTACCTTTAGTACTTCAGAGACTTCTTTAACTTTAACAAACTGTATAATAGGCTTTTAAAATATAAAACATCACATGATGTGCTAACTATGAAATATTATGGATTGGCATTTTGTTATTATATCTGTATTTATATTTCAATGGAAGCTCTCTGAAGTGAGATGTCAACATTTTTATTTGGATTTTATAGTGAGGCAGATGCTAAAAATAAGTTAAGCTAGTATTTATGATCAAGCAAACAATTTTAAGTAAAATACCTTTATCCTTTCCTTTATATGCTCCAGTTCGATATTATGGAAATTACCTTCCATTATTCTTATATTTTCTTGAAACATTTGCATCCTTACTAATTGCTGTCCTTTGGCCAAACTTATTTGGGACATTTGGTTTCATCTCTTGCATACACAGCATGCTGTACACACATATGTTTTGATGTTATTGTCAATCTTCTTGATGCACCTACATATCAGTATTTTAGAAAATAAAATATATTCTTCTATGCAATACACAGTATTTTGTTCAATTAAAATAATTGATTAGTATCCTATAATTTGATTTAACAGCCCCTTCAACAAATTCTATAAATGGATACTTTCTAGGTGGTAAGGATGTGCCTGCATACCCTACTGATACAGAATGTGACAGTGCTTTTCTGTGTGTGTGTGTGTGTTTCTCTCTTAAATAAGCAGAATTTTACCTCACTGATCCCTGTATTGATGAATAAATTGTCCATCATATATTACTTAATTTAAAAATCAATACAGATAGCAAGTTATACCTTTTGTTTTTGTTAGTTGCCCTTTGAACTAATGGCAACCCATGTATTTAGAGAAGAACTGCTCAGTAGGGATCTTAATGCTCTGACCTTTGTGAGCCCATGGCCAGACATACTGTCTGAAACACCTCAAAAATACTTCATACTGTGAGTTTTGGGATAGTTTTCTCATGTTTAACTTTTGCACGAATCGGAGACCAGTCAATAGAGATTAACTTCTTGCAAAGAGGAGACTACTCTGTAAGAGGGGGTACCCCTCAAACACCGGATTTTTTTCAAAACTATGTACTTAAAGTGTTTTGTTGTTTTTACAAATCAGCCTTCAAAGTACTCTCCATTACAGTTAATACATTGGTCAAAGCTGAGATTCAATTCTTGGAAACATTTTTCAAACTCATCTGTTTGGATGACCGATGACACCTCCTTTGTTTTGCTCTTCACCTCTTCTGTGTCACCAAATTGCTGTCATTTTCTGTTTCTCTTTGTTGGCAGAAACACAAAGAAATCTCACAGAGCAAGGTCAGGTAAGTCAGGTGCATGGGCAAAAGAGGCATGTTGGGTTTTGCCCAAAAGTGGGGCACTGAGATGTCTGCATGTGTAGGTGTGTTGTCATGGTGGCAAAACCAGTCCCCCAACTGCACAAATCAGGCCTTTTTTGTGGCACACTGTTAAACAATCTTTTCAGAACCTCTAACAGAAAGTTTGATTAACAGTCTGACCTAGTGGTGCGAACTCCAAATGCACTATCCATAAGAGTTGTATGAGCGCCAATAAAATGATTTTGAAAAGGAAGAAAAAAATAAAAGAAATAACAGTCAACACCCTAATTTCAGATGCCTACTCTCCAGAACCATACGACAATAAAATCTTGTTTTTATAACAAAACAATAAAAACAAAGAATCATCAGCTTTTTGGGGACACTCCCTTGTAAGTATATCTTCAAGGTATTCAGCCTGACTCATGTGCCAAAGGAGACATAATTGGGACAGCAGGATGCAAAAGCAGGGCAATCAGAGGGTTTACTGCTACTAGTACAGGAAGTCATTTAACCAATTACTCTTGTATCTGTAGGATTCGAGAGAGAATGGTAAAGTAAGGTATTTACAAAAGCACTATCTGATATATCACTCCCAGCAACAATGTTATTTTAGGGAATGTTAAAATGCTATAACTGAGTGTCAAGGATAGTCAGAAACTAGTGGCCACCAAGTAATATTGCTGATATTATTTTACTCCTGTTAAACTATATATCCTATACTTTCTTTCCCTACACCATTCTACAAAACTGTACCAAACACTAACCTCTGTAAGTCAATGCAGAGCCTAATGCATGCAAATGATGAGAGTTGTTTGTTGAATTTTTTTCAACACTATGTATCATTTGGCTGTACTTGATATAACCAGCATCTTCAAAATTGTTTCTCTATTACTCTGTCTAGTCTTTTAAGGAACTTTTCTCTGAACTAGAAAATCCTTCCCTGCATTATTGTTCATTAATCAAGTAAGGTAGTGCAGTTTAAAAGAAACCTGAAACTAAGTGTGAAGAAACAATTAACACGAAAGAGCAACTATGAGCCTGCAAGCTAGAACCAAGTATTCTGATGTGTTCTAGTATCAAATACATTGAAACTTCTTTTTTGCCCTCAAATTTTTTTCTTATAATGATTGTCAATGTAAAGTCACTTTCAATATAAGAATAATATTATTATTTAAATTCGATCTGACTTTAGCATCTTTTTAGAAGCTACTATATTTATAACTCAAAAACAAAATAACTAGATATCCTTGATGGCATTTATACTTTTCTTCAAACACTTTATCTTTATGTTCCTGGCCACTACATTGTGTTTGGGGCAAAGGCTTTGCTATCATTTACATTACCGAAGAACATATTCCTGATTATTGCTAGAACTCAGAGCAAGTTTAAAGTTAAATACAAGATAAAAAGTAAATATTAGAAATTGGTGAATGATCTTCAGAGGACCTTTCACTTCAGCAGAAGAGTTTAATGATAAAATTATACAACATGCCACAATATCCCTAGTAATTTCAGATTTGCTTATCATGGAACTTAACTCTTACCAAACAAGTAATTATTCTGATTTGAGTATAATACAAATCTACCGTACTTCTAAGAAATCCATTCACTACCTTGTTAATTCTCTCGATAGTAATAGATTTGATGTGATGTATGCAAAATACTTAAATATGTATTTAATATATAGCAATCCATACATAAATGTTTCACTTTATATGAGTCCAATAAAAAACAACATAAGCTTATAAGCTTTAGGATATAATATACTGAGTTGTTTGAATTTTTTTCTCATTTCATCTTATAACCGTGAAAACAATGAGTTTAGGTAGCTAAACAATGGGTGGCTAAACATTCTTTGAAACAAACAAACAAAAAGAAGAGAGAATTACTTCTTTTTGTTTTCTAAAATTGAATGCTCTCTGTTGATGCTTAAAATGTAAAGATACACAATGAATTTTATGTTGAACAGAGCTAGTTCATGCCTACCTGTACAATTAACGCAAACCCCATCCTGATCTTTGGTGATTGTGCTAGGAATCAAAGAGAAAATACAAATAATCTTTGTGTAATAGTTAAATAATTCACTTTTGTTACCACAGAGGCTGGACACCTTCTAAAATCCATCCCGCTCTCAGAGCAAATCGTACTATTTAAATAGTAAATAGTCACTGCCCTGGGGAACAACTCCCAGATTGCTTTCTGACTAAGCCAGACCGTTTTCCCTGCCACTCAAGCCCTTGAGTGCCAACCACTACAAGCCTAAATGTTGAAATATTATTGGATTCTAATGAAAATATATGTTGTCTTTGGTTAGATAGACATTAATAACATTAAGTTTTCTATTCATGAACTTGGAATATTTTCAAATTATTTAGATCTTCTTTATTATCTGCCATAATAAGCTATAGTTTTCAGTGTACAAGTCATTCACTCCTTTAGTTAATTTTATCCTTGGGTATTTTATCACCTTTAATGCTATGGCAAATACAATGATTTTGTTTTTTTTTTTTAGCTGTTCACTTTTGATGTATGAAAAAAAAAACCCTGCTTATATAAGAACTTTGTCGAAAAAGTGAAGGGAAACGTACAGATTGGTATAAAATTGTTAGGGAACCACATATCTAATAATTACTTACCTTCTAGACTATATTGAGAGCACCTATTGTTGTTAGGCATCATCCAATCAATTCCATCCCATGGCAACCTTACACACAACAGAATGAAACACTGCCTCGCCTGCGCCATCCTCACAATTGTCCTTGTGCTGCAGTGGCTGTGTCAGTTCATCTCCTTGAGGGCCCTCTTCTTTTTCGCTGCCCTGAATTTTACTAAACCCCAAGTCCTTGTCCAAGGACTGGTGTCTCCTGACAAAGTGTTTCAAGTATGTGAGGCAAAATTCTCATCATTCTTCCTTCTAAGGAGCACTGACCATACATCTTCCATGTCTGATCACTTTGTCCTTTTAGCAGTCCATGGCATTTTCAATATTCCTCTTCAGCACCACAACTCAGACGGATCGATTCTTCTTTGGTCTTTCTTATTCAATGTCCAACTCTCACAAGTATATGAGGCAACTGCAAATATGTTTTGGGTCAGCTGAAACTTGATTCTCAAAATAAGCTCCCACACCCTATCAAAAAAAAAGTAAAAAATGGGCAAAGAGTTTGACTAAATTTTTCACCAGAAAACAGATATATAAATACCAACAGACACATAAAAATATGTTCAGCATTATGTTATTTGTCATATTTAAATAAAAATCAAATGAGTTATTATTATAGCACTCAAAAAATGGTTATGATTTTAACAAGTAGAAATCTGTGTGTTAGTGAAAAAGTGGAAGTGGGACTAGAAAATAATCAACAAGTTAAAAGAAAAAACTTTTATGATAAGAAATTACCATGTTTTCAAAAATTTCTACTCCTAAATCAATACCCCAAACTACGGAAAGCAAGAATGTTGATAGACACTGTATATCATTTATAACTTCAATGCTATTCATGATAACCAAAAGATGGTGACAACCAAAATGACCATAAGCAAATGGATAGATATAAAGAATATGATATATCCATCAAATGGAATATTACTCAGCTATAAAGATAAATTAAGTTCTTATATATGCGTCAACATAGATGAACCTTGAAAACATTATGATGAGTTTAACAAGTCAGTTACACATGGACAAATATTGTGTCGGTTTCTCCTGGGAGGCAGAAAAAAGTTATTGTGTCGTCCCACTTGACGTAAAATATTTAGAATTGTGTTAGAGACCAATGTTCAGTAGTGGTTACAGAGAATGGTAAGAAAGTCGAGGACAAAAGGGGTCATTCACAGGGAATACTGTGCTTCTGTGAGGTCTGGGCCAAAGTTGAATGGGCCCAAGGAGAGACATGCGCAATGAAAGAAGACAGAAAGCGGGGAATAGGGGACTCCACTCCATTCTCAGGAGAAGGGAGAAGAGGGAGAAGAGCCTAGAGTTTATTCACCTATGGGTCTTTGTAGCTCTTGAGGCATGCAAAATTCTCGTTAATCATATACATCAAACAAATGGGCACTGGATTAATCTTGGCATGCCAAGCATTCAAAAGGAGTATTCAAGGGCATACAAGAGGAGGAAACATTCTTTAAGATATGCATAATTTATCTGTGTATGTGAGGAGTCAAGTGTCTGTAGAAAACAATTTTCTCTAAGCATTTATGAAGGCAGATGTGCTGGGAAAAAATGTGCTTCCTAGAGTTTTGTGTATTCAGGCTTTCCCCATATTTCATACTGCCTCATATTGGGGATGCCGTGCCAAGCTCTGTAGTCATGAGTAGACCACACACACGTCCTTCCAGGTTCTCAGTTTCCCCAACCCTTCTTTCCAAGATGAAAGAATAGTTTGTAAATTGATTATGGTTATTGTTGAATTCTGTGATAAATAATGATTGATGTCACTGAATTGTGCCTCTAAAGAATGTTGAAATGAACCATTCTTACACGTTTCTTGTGACTGCCCCATTGGTACTTTAAGTATAATAAATTCTTACGAAGACAAATGAGATATACCTAAACTGACTATCTTCAGCAAACGCCATACATTATATGAGGGTATGTGAAATACTTACATAACTGTTACATTTTGATTATCTATAGAAACAAAACCAGTGAACATCTTATATGTATAAGAAAAAACTTTATATCAAGAAGTAATTGTATATCAAGAAGGCATCCCAGCCCAGTCCAATTCAAGTTCATAGGTTCTGTGCTAGTTAGTCTCCTCTTCAGGCTGATGTGACTTCTGGCCAGTGGTGCAGAAAGGTGAAGTGGGAGGCAGGGAGGTCATCAGCTGGAGAGTGCACAGTTATGTTGCTCTAAGATTGATGGCAACATGGCAGGGTGCTGACAACTGCCACATTGGTGCTCTGGGATAGCTGCCTACCTGGACCCACCCCTGGAAACCTGAGCAGAATCCCAGCAGGCAGGGAAGGGGAAGGGCAAGAGAGACAAAAAGGTTCTCTTACTGTCTCACTTCAAAAAGACCACACCCCAAAGGAAGCATCACTAGATGGCCATCTAATTGACAGATTAGAGCCCACTTCTACCTCCACACAAGTACAATCAAGTTGGCATAAAATCAAAGCACAGTATCTTTGAAAATAGTCTTTAAACTCCAGTCAGACTATGGTGCTTAAAATGCCAAAAACATGTTGCTAAGGACACACTTCCTATGACAAAAGGACACGTACACCACTGAGAAAAGTTAGGAATGAGAAATTATCTATGCCACCAAACATGTGGAACATTATTATCATCGATATCATCCCCTTTTATACATCCGGAATTGCATTTGGATGTATAAAACAAAACGTGGTTATATACTTCACACAATGATCTGGGGTGGATGTATTAGTTAATCCAGGGTATTGGAGGTAAAGTCTTACACCTTTCTTTTTTCTTCGATGTGAATGATTCAACTCACAAGCCATCATTTTCTTGTGGTTTATGGGACACAGTCCAGCACCATACTCACAGGACTAAATTTAAGATGTGTGTGTGGACTGCTTTTCTTTCTGAAGGCTCTAGGGAAAATACCCTGTGTTTCCTTTCTCACTTACAGTGTCAAGAGAATTCAGTTCTCTGGAAATTCATAGCCCAGGTCTCTGCTTCCTCATTTGTTATCAGGTAAAGAACAATCTCAATTCCTACAGGACACTTTAATACATGGTTTATAGCTGTGAAAGCCTTCAAACTCAACAATTGTAAATTGAGTTATTCTCCTATGTTACTATCTTCCTCTTCCTGTAACATTGCATCTCGCTAATCTATATTTCTTTCTTCCTCTTATCTTTTAAGGGCCCATGTGAGTTAATTGAGCCCATCCAAAATGATTAAGGCTAGTCTTTCCATATCAAAATCACAACTGTATTCTTATCAGAAATGCCCCCGTTAAGTAATATGCTCACAGATTTTGGAGATTGGGATGTCCTTATCATAATTCATGAATAATCTAGGATGAACAGTAGGTAAGATCTTCATGTTTTCAGTCCTAAAATACATATTATTTATTGATGTCAAATATATAAAAACTGAAGAAGAAGATACATTTGATTATGGCGTTGGCTAAGATTACTGAAAGTCACATGGTGTCAGAAGAATAACGAATTTGCCATGGAGGAAGTACAGTCCGAATGTTCCTTACAAGGGATGGTGGTGAGATTTTGCCTCATGTACTTTGCACATGTGACCAGAAGAAACCACTTACTAGAAAAGAATATTGTGCTTGCGACAGTTCTGGTCAGTGACAAAGCTGAAGACCAACTAAGTGATGGATTGACACAGTGACCGTGACAATGGGCAGCAAATGGGAAGAGGATGCAGAAAAGGACAGAGTTCCCATCTGTTGTAAAAAGGAACTCATGAATCGATGGTCAATTTTCACTCTTAAGCATCCTATAGGACAGGGAAGAACTGTCCATGTGGGTCTCCGAGACTGTATCTCTTCACTAGAATAGGAAGCCTCAACTTTCTCAGCAGAGCAGCTGGTTGTTTCCACTTGCTGACCTTATGACTAGCAGCCCAACGTGTCACCCCGACGTCACATCAGGGCTCCGACTTCTGTTGTATTTGGGTCATTATTTGTCAGAGCGGCGTGACAGTCATTAACAACATATGATTCCTATCACTATCTCTACCTTTATTCCCAACCCTACCCCGCACAAACCAAACTCACTGTCATCGAGGGTTTCCAAGAGTCTGGTTACAGGAGTAGAAAGTCCAGCCTTTCTCCTGTGAAACTGCTGGTGGTTTCAAACTATCAACCATGGGGATCACAGCCCAACTCGTAACCACTACACTGATAGGGCTTCTTATTTAAAGTGTTGAAAAGGAAGGATTTTACTTTGAGGAATAAGATATGCCTTCCCAAGCCCTTCCAATTGCCTTATATGCATGTGAAAATTGGACATTGAATAAGGAAGTCCAAAGAAACATTGACCGATTTGAATAATGGTGCTGGTGAATACTGGTTGAAAGTACCACGGACTGTCAAAAAGACAAAGAAGTCTGATTGGAAGAAGTACAGCCAGAATGCTCCTGAGAGGCAAGGATGCCGAGACTTCTCTCTGTACTTTGTACACGTTGTCAGGAAAGACTAGTCCCTGGAGAAGGACATCATGCTTGGTAGAGTAGAGGAGCAGCAAACAAAAAGGAAAGCCATTAACCATATGAACTGACACAGTAGTTGCAACAATGAGCTCAAATATAACAACTGTGAGGATGGCACAGTGTTGCATAACAATTTATGTTGTATCCCTATGATTTGAAACTAACTCATTGGCCCCTACATACCCTACATATTTTCCAAGCTAAGAATCAAGAGACCTAAGTATATATTCAATTTTCTATTTTATTTTCCCAAATATAAATATTATACTTATAAAGAAAGACTTCTCACTTACTGGTAAACTTTCCCACAGGAACCAATTCCCCCCAATTAAAGCCTTCAGCATGTGCACACATGTGTACATATAAAGCACATGTATATGTGACTAAGTGCCTGTGTTTGTGTTTCTGAAGGTGTGAAGTGAGTTTTTAAAAATGTATTGTAAATGGAATTACTCTTTTATTTATAACTTTTGATGTTTTAAAAAATTATTTTAATTAGGAGTTAATGTATCTATCACATCACTCA